GAACCACGGTCGACTACATGGGAGTCCAGCGACATAGCCATTACGCTAACTGCTGGTTCCCCATTCTCGGTTTTCTGATGTGGGTTTCTAACTTGATGCTTTGGCTGCAGGCTACCATAAAGAACACATGAGAGGGCCAGCATGGTGGCACAATCAGTAGTACTGGAAGCCGCATAGCCAAACATGGGTTGGGATCCCCAGGTCAGCTCGAAAACACACCAAGTGTTTGTGTGCATGTGTCCAAAATCCTAACTAGCTAGAGGGCTCCCAGCATGACTAGACCCTCTCAAGGGTGCTTCTCTTGCTCTTGTACATGCACACACACTCTTATTGTGAATAAAATAAATAAACGTAAAAAAATAATGACAAGGGACTAGCAGATGTTGTAATGGTTACGTCACTGGACTCCCACATAGTTGACCATGGTCAGTTTATGAGACTAAACACTGAATTTAGCAACAGTTCTTAGGAACATCAGTTTCTAACAGTAAGGGTGCTACCATTGTCACAATAGCTAACCTAGCAGTAAAATGGCATATTACCTACAATATAAGATGCTACCAGTGGCCACTAATTGGAATATTGATGACTTTTCGTGGAGGGGGCCGGCAGGTGGCATGGTGGTTGAGACACTAGATTCCCACATGACTGACTGGTTCAAGTCCTGGACCTGGCAGCTTGCTTTCTCACTTTCTGTCTTTCTCTCTGTGTCTCTCTTTGGTTAAAACCAAAATATAATGATAAATGAAATGAAATGAATTGAAATAATTTTTTAAGAATAAACTAGGCAGTGGAGTATACTCTAGGAATTTGGACATGAATGTATTGTTGAACCAAATATGAGTAGTGGGAATCTTTTTTTTAAGAATTATCTATTTAATTTTATTTATTTATTCATTTATTTGAATTTGACCAGAGAGAGAGAAAAAGTAAGAAAGCAAGCCACCAGGTCCAGGACTCGAACTATGGTCGGTCATATGGGAGTGTCCAGCACCTTAACCATGCATGCCACCTGCTGGTCCCCAATAGTGGTAATCTTGATCTTTATTTAAAATATCATCTTGGAGATTTTACTTATTGCAATTATGAGTGCTTAAATACATAGTTGCAGTACATGTTAGAAATTTTTTTAAAGAGGTTTTTGTTTTAGGGCACATGCATTCACTGGAGAGAAAGAGACAGAGACACTGAGAAGAAAAGTGAGAAATTACACCCTTCTGCCTCAGGCATATGGCCATGCTGCAGTCCCTTCTGTATTCACCTCGGGATCTTGGGCACACATGCACATGTGCCTGGTGTGAGTTTTAAGCCGGGACTTGAACCATGGTCGGCCACGTGGGAGTCCAGTGACGTAACTGCTACTCCATCTGTTGGCCCCCATGTTAGAAATCTTAAAAGCCTCCAACTGGGGCTGGCAGGTGGTGTGGTGCTTAAGGGCGCTGAACTTCCACATGGCCAACAGCGGTTCAAGTCCTGTACCTGGCAGCTTGCTTTCTCGCTTTCCCTCTCTCTCTCTCTCACTCTGTCCCTTTCTGGTGAAATTAAAATAAATAAAGTTAAATAACTCTTAAAACAAAATCCGAACTCTTAAAAGAACTTAGGGATTTAAAAGAAAAAAAAGAATTTAGGGATTTGCCCTTAGAATTAGATCCAGAGAATTTGGACCACATTTCTGGTGCTCTCATTCACATATTAGCATGATTGTTTGTGCATCTGTATCTCATAACAGATTTGGTAAGGTGGGAATCCTGTAGTAAGAGAACTGAGTCACAAGTTAATTTTGCTTGATGTAGTGAAGTGTTTAACAGAGTTCCTTCTGAAGCTTGTCTATGACGGAAGTAGCAGTTTATGTTGCATGTTGGATCTTTCTGTAAATATCAAGGTGCAATTTCCTTTTTATTTAATTGTCAGAGGGTGTGTACACTTGCCAAAGAGGCAAAGTGATGGAGAAAGCAACCCCCAATGGGGTATGGTCACACCATGATCCTTTCATTTCTCCATCCTGCTGGGATTTGGGACATGTATGCATATGTATCCAGCATTCTTTTCAAGCCACTATGACTGGGATTCAAACAGTGGTAAACCATGTGGGATCTAACTCTCTTACCGATTAGGCCACGGGACTGGCCCATGAAGGTGCAATTTAAATGAATATCTGTCATCTTTTCAATAAAGGGGGAGCAGCGTCTGGGAGTGATACTGCTGACAAGAAGTCACAGGGTCCCAAAGGTGGTGGCAATGCAGTAAAGGTGAGTTATTCGTCCTTTATTTTTTCCTGTTAAATAAAATATATACATTGGTACACATAAAAGATGGCATGCTTAACTCATTCTAAGAAGCTAACCTAACACTGATGAGATAACAAGGGAACAGCAGATAGTGTAATGGTTACGTTGTTAGACTCCCATGTAGTTGACTGTGGTTCGAGTCCCAGACCCAGTTGCTTAAAATTCATGCTGGGGGCCAGCAGGTAACATGGTGGTTAAAGGCACTGGATTCCCACATGGCCAACTGTGATTCAAGTCCTGGACCTGGTATAGGGTCCAGAGATTGATCTATCTAGTGCGATGGAGAGGAGACATTGATAATGCAACTGCATAAAAGGCATTTATTTTTCCAGCTAGCTGGGGTCCAAGTTTATGCCCGACGCAGCGGGTTGCAACAAGGATCCTGAACCTAGGATAGAGGGGCCTTTTATAGCTCAGGAGGCAATACAGGATATATTGTCAGTAACTTTCCATAGTATGCAGCACACAAGGGAGGGGGTATGTGCAGTTAGGGTCTAGCTGTTATCACCTGCTTGAATTTAGATAAGAACTCTCAGTTAAAGTTAGGTAAACCTTGTTCTGGCACCACCTGGCCCACCCGTCCTCTGCTGTCTTCTGTAATTTACAAATTCCTGCCCTCTGTTTATTCACAAATTCCCGGGCTCCCTCCTCAGAGCCTTGTCATGACGGTGAACACGCTAACTTGACCTATACTAACTCAGCCTAACATATGTTAACTCGGCCTAACACTGGCAGCTTGCTTTCTTGCTTTCCCTAAAGTTAAATAAAATAACTCCTTTTAAAAAATAACAACAACAAATGGAATTAAATAATTCTAAAAAAACCCAAAATATTAAAAATAATTTAAAAAATAAAACTCATGCTGGACATGTGTGTATGTATGTACTCCCTCTCCAAAAAAAAAAAAAAAGATTTTGAGATAACAAAATGGAAAATATAGACCACTCTTGCCTACAAAAAGTAAGTCCTTTTTAGTTGTTTGCAGTAGCATACACCTGTGGTCCCAGCTACTTAGGAGGCTGAGGCAGGAGGATCATATAAAATACTGTTTTTTGTTTTGTTTTAATTTGCCAGAGTGTATATGTGCTCCCCTGAGAGAAAGAGAGTAAGAAAGCACCTCACATATACACCATGAGGCAGGCTCATGCTACAATCTCTGCTCCTCCATTTCTCCCTCTCTTTGGGATTCTGGGCATATGTGCGTGCGCATGTGCGCACACAGACACACACAAAATCAGCGTGCCTCTCAAGCTGCCAGGTCCAGGACTCAAATCTCACAGTTGGCCATATGAGATGTAGCTGTCCCAACCACTGTACCACCAACTAGCCCAACTCTGTCTTTAAAAGAAAAAAGGGGGGCTGGCAGGTGGTGTAGTGGTTAAGGATGCTGGACTTCCACATGGCCAGCCACAGTTTGAGTCCCAGACCTGGTGGCTTGCTTTCTCACTTTTTCCCTCTCTCTCTCACTCTGTTTCTCTCTGGTCAAATTTAAATAAATACATAAATATATAAAGTTAAAAAAAATCATTCTTTTTTAAAAAAATAATTGATACAATGTATTTCTAAGCAGAATATGAGTGAGGAAGGCCTGGAGAGGAGGCAAACATGCCTTTCTTGGGGTGACCAGGTACAGGGGTTCCTTTTATTTGATTTTGAGAGCAAGAGACAGGGTTTGGAATTTAGTAAAGAGTTTTTCCATTGGTCTGGCCCAAAAAGGAAGACACATGGAAGCTGAGACTTGTAGGTTATAGGTGGGTTTATACTTTTTAGGAAAAGAAAGTTGCTGAGATCAAAAAAGAATGTACTTTGACAGAGATAAGGAGGCTTAATATACATCACAAAGATACCATGCCAGGGGCAGGGCCTAGAGAGAATCCTGTTACCAATGGGTCAGAATGGTCTGTTAATGTTTGTGGGCCCGACTCCCTCCAGGTCCCCTGGAAAAGATTTTGGAAAATAGGAAAAAGCAGTCAGG